GCAGGAAGGCAGCCTGGCTGAGCAGGGTGCTGTTGGGTGCTGCTGGCTTCCCCCTGCTCGACCGGTCCTGTCGTGCCATCCTCAGCTCGCGGGTTACAACGATGAGGTTCTGGATGTGAAGTTCCTGGGGCCTGGTGACTCTCACATCGTTGTGGCGACCAACAGCCCTCAGCTGAAAGTGTTTGAGCTGGCGACATCCCACTGCCAGATCCTCTACGGCCACACAGGTGCGTGGGGTCAGCTCTGACGTGGGTGGGAGACGGGCAGGTCCTTCACCCAGCTTCTCTCACTGCTCTGTCTGGAGGCTGGAGCCCTTCGGTTCCCTCTGGAGCAGCACCGCAGCAGGGTTTTGGAGCTGGGTGGAGAAAGGATGTGTTCCACCATCCTGGTTTTGCAAACGCCAGTTTGCCTTTTCTGGGTCTGTCGGTTCCTCCCTCTCCCTCGCGGTGAAATCGGTTTAAATGGGAGCTAAAGCTGTAGGGACGTGAGGGCGAGCTCTGCGTGCGGTGTTGCACCGATGCCCCAGCAGCCGGTCGCTCCGTAGTACGTTCTCGAGTGTCCCAAACCCATCCCCGGTCCGTGAGCGACGGCCTCGTTGATTCCCAAGTTTCTCTTGCCCCGTTTCAGCGTTATTTTGCATCCAGCTGCTTTTTCTTCTTGCGCTTAGAAACCGTTCTTGCTCTGGATGTCTTCAGGAAAGGCCTGATGTTCGTCAGCTGCGCTAAGGTGTGTTGGGTTTCTTCGTTTCACAAAACTCCTCGTTTCTAGTGATGGCTGTGGGCAGAGTTGTTCCTTTTTGGTCCTCCAGAAAGGGATTTGGTTCAGATTTCCTGCCTGCTGCATCCCCCAACCAGAAGGTTCTTCCACTGCCCCTTTTTGACATTGTCCCTGGGGAAGTGTGGTTGCATTTTGGTAGCCTGAAAGGAGATGTCTCGTTCTCCAAGACGTCATTACTGTGAGACTGATGGGGGGCTGTGTGTAAAAACTGTAGAAGAAAAGGTGCTGGCTGCCCTGATACCCCCAGAAATAAACCCCCACGCTGGAATCCCAGCCTGCCGGGCACCCTGCTTGCCTCTGTCTGCCCTCGCCCGCTCTGGGGAACGCAGGCAAAGGGTTGAGCTTGAAAACAAGCGAATGCTCAGGCTCGGGAATGCGGTGAATGTCTGGGGAAAACCGTTGCTTGCCAGAAAAGCACCATGGTTTCTGTCCTCTGCCGTTCCAGGACAAAAGCCTTCGAGTCTGGCGGATGAGTAAAGGTGGAAGGGTCACCTGTGTTGCCCAGGGTTTGGGCCATGCCCATGGGGTAGGCGCTGTCTCTTGCTCAAGGTAACTGAAGCCGAGAAAACTCACCAACAACTCCGTGTTATCCAGCAGGGATGGGTTATCGCGGCGCCGGGCAGCACGGGGGATGGCTCCTTCCATCCCTGCGCGCCCCAGCGTTCGGATTCTTGCCTTATAGTTACAGCTTTCATGTTTATTCATTGCATTTGTAAGAAAAGGTTGGGTTATTCTAATTATTTCATTAACATAAGTTCCTCCCGTAGTCCCGCCTCAGTCCGCCAAAGTTACGCCCCCCTCGGGGGCCCTTGGTGGTTGTTGGGGATGAAGGTCCGAGTCTTCCTCAGGGTTGAACTTTTGAACTTGTCCTGTGGCGCCTGCCCTGCCCCATCCTGGGGCTTTTCCAAACGGCAGCACCAGCTCTGGCTCGCTGCCCTCCCTGTCTCTCCTGCTCAGCCCTTTGTGTTCCTTGAGCCCCACGGTCTGAGGATCCCACCGGGCGTCCTTCGCTGGGCGGATTCTGCTTCGTTCTTACCTTTAAAGTGTGTGTTAGTTAGTCCACGATGGATCTGTGCATAAGGGTCAGTGCAAATCAGCCTCCCTCCCTGTCTCTAAAGGCTGGGCAGCAGCACTTTTCTAAAAGCCACTTTTCTAAAAGCCAGTTAGCCATTCTTCATTACATAATAACAATCAAACCAGTGTTTCCCGTTGCAAGCACGAGTCACGGCTGCTTTGCCGCTCCTCAGGGCGAATGTTCTGGTGGATGCCTGCCTCTGAGCCCTCCTCTTTCTCATCCTTGCTCCCAGCTTGCCGTGGAGGTTGAAGGAAAGATGATGGTTTTTATTTTTATCCCTAAGTCGTGCAGTTTGTGTTTCTTTGTCAGTCCAGCTCCCGTTTGCCTTAAAGAGCAGCGGCGGGATGAGTTGCCAGATAAAGCTGGAGTGATCTGGAGGGGAGGGTTGGAGAGTGAGGAGAGGGTGTCTGTGATGGTCCTTGCTTGAATACCCCGTCTGCTCATCAGCTCTTCTCCTTTCTTGGTGCTGCCTGGCGGCCTGGAAGCCCAGCGTGCCCGTTGGGGAGCTGCAGCCTGCCTCTGCCTGTGCCTGAAGAGAGCCAGCAGCGCCCTTGGCGAACGGCTGCGTTGCCGGAGGCTCTCCCAGGGACCTCAGTGAAATGAAAGGCGGCTCGAAAAAGCATTAAAGCGTTGTGTTTCACGGGACTGAGTGCACGTAGATCCCCGTAGGGAAGGAGAAAGCCTTTTTCTTAATGTGCCGGGGAAGCCGCTGTGTTTTGTTTCCGTATACTTGTTTTTTTTGTTTTCCCTTTCAGACTGAAGGAAAGCTTCATAGTAACCAGCAGCCAGGACTGCACCATCAAGATCTGGAATATCCCAGAATCCCTCACTTCCAAAGCCAAAGCAGCCTTGATCTCCAGTCCAGAGAGCCTTCATGCCAAAGTGACAGAGAGGGGTCACGACAAGGTAAAGCTCCGTGTCAGAACGTGCTTTCAGCGCTGAAATCTCTCTCTCCTCTGTCGTACCCTGTGTTCGTTCCCTGTCCGACCGCTGGAGCAAAGACTGAAACTGCTTTGCCCCCCTCTGTGCTTGGGGGGGGCTTCTGTTAGGACATCAACAGCGTGGCGGTCTCTCCGAACGACAAGCTGATCGCCACCGGCTCGCAGGATCGGCTGGCCAAGCTGTGGGCCTGTTCCGACTGCTCTCTGCTGGGCGTCTTCAGGGGGCACAAGCGCGGCGTCTGGTGCGTGCAGTTCTCCCCCGTGGATCAGATCTTGGCCACCTCTTCAGCAGATGGGACCCTGAAACTTTGGGGTCTTCGGGACTTCAGCTGCCTGAAGGTAACGAACTGGGGCTGCCCCGGCTCTGGGCGACCCGTGCGTGCTGCGGGCGTTGAGCGAGGCTGCGTCAGGGAGGCTCCTGCCGGTTAATGCCGCTGAGGGGCGGAAGGAAGAGCCGTCCAGGTCCAGCCTTGTCCTCCAGGATCAGGGATCCGTGAGCTGCGGGCAAAGCTCGCGGACAGGAGCACCTGCACGGCGCGCCGGTGATCTCCTCTAGCTCACCGGCGCGATCCGCCTTTTGGGGAGGCAGCCTGCGCCGCGGGCCTCGCCGTTCGGCCCGTTGGCCCTTTGACCTTGGCCGACGCGTTAAGGCAAGCGGGTGGTTTGAGGAACGCTGCGGGGCCAAGCCCTTTCCTCCCGCCCTGTCAGTAAAAGGCCCAAGGACAGAGGCCTCTTTTTGGGAACTTCCCTATTTTGGGCTTTGGGAGTAAATACCTTTTGGGGAGGCAGCCTGCGCCGCGGGCCTCGCCGTTCGGCCCGTTGGCCCTTTGACCTTGGCCGACGCGTTAAGGCAAGCGGGTGGTTTGAGGAACGCTGCGGGGCCAAGCCCTTTCCTCCCGCCCTGTCAGTAAAAGGCCCAAGGACAGAGGCCTCTTTTTGGGAACTTCCCTATTTTGGGCTTTGGGAGTAAATATTTTCCCCTCGAAAGGCCGGGCAGCGACGCTGACGCTCCCGAGCTTCCCTTGTTTTCCAGACCTTTGAGGGTCACGACGCCTCTGTGCTGAAGATCATCTTTGTGAGCCGGGGAACGCAGCTGCTCAGCAGGTAAGTGCCTGCCCCGGGGGTCTGGAGGAAGGTGCTGGAATTAACCCGGAGAGAAATCTCTGGGCTGACAGCAGCAAGGGGGAAGGGTCTGGTGCGACGGATTTGGGTTTGGGGAGACTGATGGGAAAGCGCCGCGTTTCTGCGCAAGGGCTGACTTGCCTTCCCCGCCTCCAGTCCCGCTGTGGGTTCCAGTGAGCTGCTGGGCCCTGGCTGGGTGGGCGACGTTCACCGGAGCTGGGCAGAGCGAAGGGTGCACCTCGCCCCTGGCGGGGCTGGTTCATTCCGCTCCTGTTTGAGAGACGTTGGGAGGGGACGAGCGTATCTGATATTTGGGGTGGGGCAGGGTGCGGCTGGATCTATCCAGTGATTCTTCTGCTGTTTCTTTCTCCTCCGCAAGCGGTTCTGATGGTCTCTTAAAACTCTGGACCATTAAAACAAACGAGTGTGTGAAAACGTTAGATGGTCACGAGGATAAAATCTGGGGTCTTCACTCCAACAAGCAAGACGATACGGTTGTGACAGCATCCAGCGACTCCTGCATCATGCTGTGGAAGGTACAGCCTGGGGCCTTCTGGGTTAGCAGTCGGGATGCCGTGGGAGAGCTCAGGATCCCAGCACGAGACGTGCTCTGCTCCTTTTGTGCACTTGGGGGCATATCGTGGGGTTTGGGGGGTGTTTTTTTTTGGCCATACTGTATTTCCCCAGTCGATGTTGTGAAAGGAACAGCAGATGGGCCTTAGCAGCCTGCCCAGTGCTGGTGGTGGAAAGGTGGTTTGGAGGGAGGTGGTGAGTTGTGGGATTTAACACTGAACTTGACCTCGACACCTCGCTGCGGAAACGGGTCTCCTGATTGCTGGATGGCTAAATAAAAAATCGTCTGGATTAAAGCAAGACTCGACAAAGTGACATTCTGTTGGTTTTATAGGACGTCACTGAAATTGAAGAGAAAGAGGCGCAGGCTAAAGAGGAGGAGCAGATTATGAAGTGAGTGGATCTTGTGCAACAGCGAGCTGTGAAAGGCAAACTCTGTCCTGTGAAACTGTCCGCACCTGGAGCCGTCCAGCTCCACCTAATCCCCATGATCACGTCGCTCAGCTGCTTGGAGGCTGTCAGGGCACAGTCGTCTCGACTTTGTAGTTTATCCTTAGTTCTGCAAAGCCTTGCTGTAATGCTGTCACCTTAACAATCCGTTAGTTCCGTGTTCAGGCACCGCTAAGACGAGCGAAATCAAACCACCAAAACCTACTTGCGCTTTCTCCTGCTTCAGCCAGCACCAAATAGTCCGGGGAGCCCTCGAACGTGCCGGGGTGGTTATCTGCACCACGGAGGCATCCCTTGGCAAGCAGCTTGGCGTTCAACCTCTGCCCGCTGTTATTGCCACATCTGCTGCTTTCTGTATAGCTTTTATTTCCACCAACCAAATATTTGTCTCGCTCTCTTGACCCCAAATTTGTTTTCCAGAGAGCAAGAGCTTTCAAACCTGCTTCATGAGAAAAGATACCTCAAAGCTTTGGGCTTGGCAATCTCTCTGGATCGTCCGCACACGGTGTTGATGGTGGTCAAAGGTGGGTCCGCGCTGTGCTCCGAAGGCGTTTTCCTGCCCTCTCTGCTTTCCAGAACATCTCTCCAGTTGGCCAAGGCTACGATAATTGTCCAAAAGCCTCGGTTTTCCCTTTCTCTTGTGATTCCTGTTTTCCTAAGTGCAGTCACCCCAGGTAACAGACGGTCTCCCTGCTCTCACTGCTCGTTTCTCTTCCATGCAGCCATCCTCAAGGAAACGGACGGGAGAAAGCACTTGGAAGAGAACATTGTCCGGCTCCGGAAGGATCAGAAAGGTTTGTTGCAGCATGTTTTAAGTGCTAAAACCCTTCAGGTTAGGGGTTTGTTTTCTGAACTGGAATTAAAAAGCAAAGAATCCCCCTAGACTCGGCCTTTACCACTGGGCTCCCGCCACCCTCAAGCAGGGCCGGTGCCGCCAGCCGCTGCGCCGAGCTTGTGCGAGGGGCTCTGCCGGGCTTCACCCCACCCCGTCGCTCAGCGCGTCCCTGGGGCAGCTCAAGAAACGGTTCTGTGCCGGGTGCTGCCCCGCTGGGCTCGCGGTCGCGGTATGTGGGAGCCGTTCTGCAAGACAAAGATGTTTCTGACTTGGCCTCTGGGTCCCACCAACCCCCCCGCAGCGCTGCAGGCTGGGGAGGGGTGGCTGGAGAGCTGCGGGGGTGGGAAAGGGCCTGGGGGTGAAGGTGAGCCGGCCGTGTGCCCAGGTGGCCAAGGCGGCCAACATCACCCTGGCCTG